GGGATAGACCCTTGGCGTTTACTCAACAGTGTTACCTTTTGAGCGTAAGCTTAAATAATTAGAGAGAAGGTCCCCACCATTAGTTGTACAGGGTTGCCCGTGTCAGGTAAGAACTTACTTGCTGGAGTCTTCCCAACACGCGATCACCTTGGACATATGTTTAGAGTCAACACCATACGAAGCGAGCGGGCCGGCCAACCACTTGCCGGAAATTGGAAAGCCGGATTTGAGGCATGGTGCGGCGATTGGAAGGAGCGGTCGTTGAGTCACATGTTTATTCGGAGGAACTTCCAGTCCACGTATCTCTGTGACCAGTGCGACGCAATAGCCCCTCACAAGCGTACTCCAGACAACCTTCTTCCATATATCTACACAAACTTTGCTGAAGACGCCCCATGGACTCAGACTCTCCGAACTCATGAGCAATATCTTGCCAGCACACCATCTGCAAATTTATCACCATGGCTGGAACTTCCAGGATTCCACATTTCATGCGTTCGATGGGATGTAGCGCATACTGTGCTTTTGGGGACTGGAAAGGATATCGTGGGGAGTTTCTTATGTGACCTCGCTCCTTCGGGTTTTATTCAGTAGTTTTTGTCTGGTTTACTTAGTAGGCGCTTAGACCTACCAGTAGTCCATTCCTGCTTTCTGCATTGCACTGCGCAAGGTTGAACTCCCTATGCTTTCCAATCTAGCTTCGCGTGGCGTAGAGCTACGCAGTGCACATGGTGTGGACTTGAATGTTCCTCTCGGCCTCCAATATGTTCGGGGCAATGCGCTCATGAACCGCTTGGGCATGGCTTTTAGGAGGTTTTGTCGGGAGAGGAAAATCGAGACCCCACCTGCTACATGGAACCTTCATCTGTATGGCAGGGGTGAGAATGACGCCCAAAGCTCATACCCAGTACTGGATTCTTCGGTGAAAGCAGCCCATACAAAACCAATTCTTTTCTTCTTGGCTGAGATATCACGAGAGCTTTCGGAACATTGCAATTGTATTTAGGCAACTTTTCAAGCAACTTTTGCATTTTTGCTTTTCCTCCCAGAACATAAAACAAAATACACCTTAATGTTTGAACCTCTCAGGCATTGGGTGCAGAGACCGAGCTATGGTGTTATACGGTTGCTGTGACTTTCTTTGGGCGACGGACAGGCCAGCCTTCCGATTAGGTGCTGTTTTGCAACAACGCGGTCTGGAATCTGGCGTGCTAGCCTTGACTTCTTATTCTGCGTTGTCTGCTCGGAACTTGCAGAAAAAACGAAAAAACTACAAGGTGAGACCCAAGTGGTATCTTAACTCAACATGTCTTTGTGAACCTTTTCTTTTTAAATTTGTGGGAGGTTACTGCCCGTATGATAAAAACATTGGGGTGCATTGCTGTAAAACTTCCTGAGGCACTCGTGGTGCCATTTGATTCACGGGCTACGTTCCTCTGACGAGAACATCAGGAACCATAAAACACTTGCTGAAGAAGATTGTTTGGGAAAGCTTTGCCAGCTAGCTTCCGCGGTGCATGGTGGTTGTGTGATTCGCCGCTTCTTTGATAGATACAGGTTGTTTCTCGCCATGCACTTCGAAAGACTTCAGAGTTTGCCACCCGAGCAAACACGAGCGGAGAACTGAGCAGCCCGACCTCCAGAGGAAATCTTGCTGCCAGCCCGGCCGCTTGCGTTGGTGTGGCACGGGAGGTGTGTGTGTGTGTGTGGGTGAGGGTGAAGGGTTGAAACACCATACAGTGTCAGGTGAACCCCACAAACACACATCAAATAGGGTGTCACTGTTTCTCTAAAAAACATGTTGCACAAATACAAGGTTTCTCAATCCTCAGAGTGTCCAGCTGTCGACCTATACCTAATCATACACACACACACCGATATATACTATATAGCTATATAGGAATATAAAAGAAAAACTGTGTGTTTCTCACAGTTTTTCTCGCTTTTGCAGAGCATCATCTTGCAAGTTTGCAAGGGGTGACGCCTGTGTTAATCAAGTCATCGGTCTTGGCTCAACTGGTCACAGCCCTAGTGACTTTGCAAAGATGGACAGCTAGGCTGTACGATAGCATGCCAAGGTCAACTGGGCATCGCTTCTGACAATGCCATCTGTACTTCTATGGGGCATTGTAACTCGCTCCTCGGAGCCTCCTGGCAGCAGGATGTTGTTGAAGTGGGCGAAGAATCCTGACGGCTCACCAAGAGCAAAAGCCCGCCTAGTGGTTCATGGCTACAACTGCTGATGCCTTAGCCGGAAATCTGGACACACAGTCGCCTACAGCATCCCGATTGGCCAGAAGCCTTCTTCTCTCCATCTCAGCGACGCTTCATTGGCATGGCTGGTCGGCAGATGTCGCGACGGCATTTCTACAAGGAATGCCCCAGACGAGACAGCTCTGGCTCGGTTGCCCAGCGGCTGCTTGCAGATCCTTGGATGCGGCCCAGAAACTCGTATGGCTCTCATCAAGCCCGCCTACGGGCAACTGGATGCACCACGCCGCTGGTGGCAGGAAGCCACGCGACGCCTCACTCAAGAGGGATGGGTTCCACGTGATCTTGATCCATGCCTTTTTGTACTTCATCACCACAAGGATGACAACTCCTCCGAACCATGTGGACTCATCGCCCTGCACGTTGACGACATGCTTGGTGCAGGTGACAGAAGCTGCCCCACCGACATTGCAGCTGAACGTCGCTTGAAAGAAGTTTTTGACTTTCGAAGCTGGCAGGAAGACGCAGAGACCATGGAATACTGTGGAGTTCTACACCAACGGGAGAACTTCGCATGGACGCTTTCTCAAAAGCACTTCCTCCACAATGTCAAGCCCGTGACCATTCATCGAGGCCGTGGAGCCGAAGATCCCATGAATGACCAGGACAAGGCCCAGCTTCGTGCTCTACTTGGAAGCCTTCAATGGCCTGGAGTACAGTCACAACCTCACCTTCAAGCCAGCTGCAGTCTGATAAGTGGTCAGCAGCGTAGCGGAAAGATTCGAGCCATCATTGAAGCCAACTCACTCCTCAAGTTCGCTAAGGAGAATGCCGATGTGACCTTGAAGTACGAGCCCTTCCAATCCGTCAAGAACCACAACGATCTCCACAAGGTCAGGCTGGTGATCATGTTCGATGCGTCCTCACATGCTGCAAGAGAAGACCACGCTTCTCAAGGTGGCCATTTGGCCATGCTGGTTCCTGAGGATTCCTTTGAGCAGGAGACGCCCTACCACATTGTGGACTGGCGAAGCTATAAACTACCTCGCGTCGCTCGCTCAAGCCTCAGTGCAGAAGCTCAAGCAGCAGGTGGTGCCAGCGACACAGCAGAGTTCATCAGCCGCTTTTGGTCGATCATCTTTGATCCGTTAACCTTCCCTTCGAGAACGACTGCATGAAGTCTCAGCACTGAAGCCCACGCTGATCACTGACGCAAAGGCATTGTACGATGCTTGGCGCAAAGAGACAGCAACTTCAGCAAGCTCCTCCGTGGACAAGCGCACTTACCTGGAGGTCAAAGTGGCCAAACAACAGGTATGTGAACTGGGTGGATGCCTCAAATGGATTAGCTCCGAGAGACAGTTCGCAGATGGTTTGACAAAGAGTTCAACCAGAGGACTCCTGGCAGATCGCATCCGGCGACACAAAATCAAATTGCCTTGGGACCCTCACTACACCGCCGCCAAGAAGAAGAGCAAGCAAGAAAGGAAAGAGAGTCGGCAAGAGTTCGCTGACCCCAAGTCAAGAAAGAAGAAGAAGAAGAAGCCCACAAAGAACGAACACACCAACAACAACCTACAGCTCAACCACACCGACAACCTCGAGAGCGTGCAGGAAGAACCACATGAAGATGAACTGGTTCTGTTGGACAATTCCCCTAAGGAGAACTACACTGCAAGGTCGGGCACCACAACTCTGTGGTCCCCGATGGCACTGCTGGTCTTCTTTACCCAGCTCAAGGCCGCTACTGCAGAGTTCTTCGGTGGCCATGCGCAGATGGCTGATGAGGGAGTTTGCGCTATGGACGATGACCCCGATGGAGGATGGTACTTCCTTTGGTGCTTGGCGCTCTTCATGCTGATCGCCGTCCTCATTCTGTGCTACCTGTCCTACAAGCTTGGAAGATTCCTGGAGCGCAAGAACCAGATTCGTGACCTGAAGGTCAAACTTCGTGTGGCAGATGCTCGCAACAAGCGACACTTCGATGCCGCCTTGGACGAGCAGAATCTTCGACTCGACCATCGTATAGCTCAGCTTGAGAACGACCTCGTGAAAGCTGCCGAGACCAACTTCGAGAACAGACGGCGCCACAATGAGATGATGGAACAATGGAACAACGAGCAGCAGGAGGCCAAGAACATCGACCAAGCCTTTCAGCAATGTCAAGGACTACTTTGGCGGTGTTACAATGAGCTCCTGCACCACTTCCAAAAGGAATGCCCCATCGAGCACGGCACCCTCGTGACGCCATTTGGCCATGTCTGGCACACCCACTCGGAATGTCAAGGTTTGAAGCAAGCCCACAGGGTTGGCCGCCGACCAATATGCCACTTCTGTGAGCCTTTGCCGAGGACTCCCAATGTGGTCAACAGCCTCAGCGGAACTACCTTAGCCCAAGACATGGGCAGCTGGCGCCAGCAATGGGGCTACTTGAGCTACGAGTCCTGGATGGTCGATTGACCTTGCCGCTTGAGCTTGATTTTTTTTGTGCACCACTTACCGGTGTGAGTTTCAAGATGTAACTCAAGCCACTGACGCGACACGACGTGTCAGTATCCTTCAGGTTGTCACCTTCCCTGGCCATATGGCCCTAACCACCTAAGCGGTGGGAGCTGCAGCCTAGAGCAATGGCGAAAAAGGGAGCATAGACTTCGAGAGCTGTGTTCCACCTCGTTCTTCCAAGGAACTTCGACTGTCTTTGGAAACCACTTGGGCCTTTTAGCTTTGCTACCTCTGTCCAAGTGACAACCGCGATTTGACGAACCGTGAGCCTTCTGTGCCCGGGGCAGGTGGAAAAAATGCTGGAGAGTGCTACTGCAACTTTGCCAAGCACTGGGGAATTTGGGGCCAAAGGCTGACAAGACACAACTGTATGAGGCATATCCGTTGTGTCAACTCAGGCTGGATGAAGCCTGACAGAAACAACCCGCCGGGTCAGAAACCGAACGTTCAGTCGTGTGCGTTTCACAACACGCTGAAACGAGTGAGTGCGAGCAAAAACCTGTTGAACAAACACGTGTTTTAGGAGACTGATTGATGGAAATGCACGTCACCTGACTGCCGGCACTTCCCTGTAACCCCGACCCTCCCCCCACCCACGATATCTTTACCGATTGACGATGTCGATGTCCCCTATCGATGGCCACCGCCGGTCGCAAACATACAATGCGCAGAATTGAAGCTTTTATATAGTGAAGCCAGCGTGACTACACGTTCGCTTTCCGACCCAATGGAAGAACCAAGTACCGTATCAAAGAGGATCAAAGAGGGCAAATGTGTACAAAGCACACAGTTTTTTGTTTAAAACATGTGCGTGTGAGATCAATGTGCCTGAGCCAAGGAGAGCTTTGCATCAATGTTGGTGCACCTCGGACAGAGATATGCCACAGCGCAAAGACGTTCGTCCTGTGCACACCTAGCCTTGATGCACCTCTGCGCATCGTCACAGAAGGAGAGGTCGGTCTCAACAGAAGCGTACAGGCGGTGCTTGCAAGTATAGAGCATTCAGTTTGCCATACTTGCAAGACCAAGACACGATAGCATTGAGTCTATATGTGTGCATGATAGTCAATACAAGTCGTCACACACACATGCACGCACACACACAAGCACATATGAGACATAACGGTATATATATATATATTTCTTGTTCTTATATAGAAAAGAAAGATATCTTTATCTATCTATAGACTATATATATGTGTGTGTGTGTGCGTGTGTGTCCACACCTGTTACTAAGGAACCTGCATCGAATAATTCACCACCGGTGGACAAATTCCGCTACCGCAGGGGGTAGCGGCAGATCACTTGGGACCGCTACCAACGAAGACGCCCATTTGATTTGGTGAAATCAGAGTTGGCCACTCTGACGTACCTGCAACGGTTCGATTGACGATGTAAACCATATTGTTTCTGACCCTGCCACCTTTGTGTTCCCTCACAGGGCTGTTTCTCAGGTCTCAGGCAGCGCTCTAAGCCAGTAGTGTATTCACTAGAGTGGACTGCCTTAACTGATCTAGCTCTTGCGAGCATCAATCTAAGTGTGTATCGCCACAGGGTCCCACTGAGGTCTGTGGTGTGATCCCCGACCAGATGCGCAGCATGTGCGCATACCCTCAAGGGTGATCCTTCCTGGTCCCCCGTCCCTCACCTGATCCTTTCCTCGTACCTCTACCTGATCCACTGCTCCGCTTGAAGCAGCTGATCATATGCCGCAGGGCTTACTGAGATCAAACTCCAGCGGCTAAGTATTCGTCATGCTGCTAAGTATTCACGTGTCCTCTCTCCTGCTGTTGCTTTTCGTTTTCTGAGCCTCTTTTCGTTTCCTAGAGGCTTTTTAGGTGTAACTGAGTTTTTTTGCGCCGATGACAGCTTCTTTTGCCAGTGCCTTTGGGGTCAGTGCATGCCCCATGCACGAGAATTCGCCAGGCTTCCCCACAGCCCACACCCTCGCACCCCCTTGCACCTTTCTCTTCTTTTCTTGCCTTTTCGTTTGTCTTGTTCTTTCTTTCAGGCTTGTTAGGTGGACATCCAGGCTCGTTTAGTCAATGCACGCCCTGCCCACCCCCCGCACCCCTTGCACCCCTTGCACCTTCCTCTTCTTTTCTTGCCTTTTCGTTTGTCTTGTTCTTTCCCTCAGGCCTTCAGGTGGACTTCCAGGCTCGTTTAGTCAACGCACTCCCACACCTTTCCCCCCCCCCACATCCCGGCAACAAAAAGAGAGCACGCCGTCCCGGCTTTTTGTGTGTGTCCACACCTGTTACTAAGGAACCCTGCATTGAATAATTCACCACTGGTGGACAAATTCCATTGCCGCAGGGGGTAGCGGCAGATCACTTGGGACCGCTACCAACGAAGACGCCCATTTGATCTGGTGAAATCAGAGTTGGCCACTCTGACGTACCTGCAACTGTTCGATTGATGATGTAAAATGTAAAACATATTGACCCTGCCACCTTTCCGTTCCCTCACAGGGCTGTTTCTCAGGTCTCAGACAGCGCTCTAAACCGGTAATGTATTCACTAGAGTGGACTGCCTTAATTGATTTAAGGTCTTGCGAGCATCAATCTAAGTGTGCAATGTGCAAGTGAAATCACTGCGCGCGAAGGTATCACTGAGGCGTCGTATCGCAGTGGTGCAGGGTTCGAGGAAAGAAGGACTTCCACCCCAGATCGCCAAAGCTATTGTTCCCACCTGTCAGGTGAGGGTTGTTAGATTTTATGTCAGCATGTCAGCCCCATCTCCCTCCTTCCTTCGTCTCCTTCTCCTTCTCCTCCTCCTCCTCCCCCTCAACCACGACCATCCACGCCCAGTGTTCCCTGCCAGACCTCAACCACGATCACCCACGCCCTGTGCTCCCTGCCAGGCCTCAACCACGACCGTGCACGCCCAGTGTTCCCTGCCGAAACTCAACCACGACCATCCACGCCCAGTGTTCCCTGCCAGACCTCAACCACGACCATCCACGCCCAGTGTTCCCTGCCGGACCTCAACCGCGACCATCCGCGCCCAGCGTTCCCTGCCGGACCTCAACCACGACCATCCGCGCCCAGTGTTCCCTGCCGGACCTCAACCACGACCATCCGCGCCCTGTGCACTTCCCCGCCGGACCTCAACCACGACCGTGTCCCCCGCCGGACCTCAACACACAATTACACACAGAACAACAAACACACAACTACAAACACACAAACACAACCACAAACACAACTACAAGTAGTTCCCCGGCAAGCCGGCGGCGGAAGTTTCCTATAAGAACAAATTGAACTATAGGAGTGTCCGGTTCTTTCCACCATGCGTGTCCCTCGTGTCCCTCAGTCAGACGCATGAGTGATGAGTGATGAGTGAAGCATAGCTCTAGCTCTAGCTCCACTAAAGTTAACTGGAGCTAGACGTTAACTATGATGTGATAGCTTGTCTAGACACGAAGCTAATTAGCTCAAATTTGTCAACCTCTCAAAACACGTGTTTTGAGGTTTCCAGAAAGTAATCGAAATGACCACTTTTGAGGAAGCAAAGTAGCTAAAATTTGTCAACCTCTCAAGAGAGCCAGGTGGTCGGGAGACATGACTCAGCTGCAGGGGCGCCAGAGCAGCCGCGAGAGATGACTCAGCTGCATACTAAAGTTGTATTACCAAGTCGCCAGTTCTCAGCTTCCAGCTCCACAGATTGCTCCGCGTACTAAAGTTGCACTACAAAGTCGCCAGTTCTCATCTTCCAGCTCCCCAGATACTCCGCGCGCTAAGAGTTGTACTACAAAGTCGCGTACTAAAGTTGTACTACAAAGTCGCCAGTTCTCAGCTTCCAGCTCCACAGATTGCTCCGCGTACTAAAGTTGTACTAGAAAGTCGCTCTCATCTTCCAGCTCCCCAGATACTCCGCTTACTAAAGTTGTACTACAAAGTCGCCAGTTCTCAGCTTCCAGCTCCGCAGATACTCCGCGTACTAAAGTTGTACTACAAAGTCGCCAGTTCTCAGCTCCCATCCACAGATGCTGTGCCTGCCACGAACTCTGCGCATGAAGGTCGCAAAGTGCTGTGCCTGCCACGAACTCTGCGCGTGGAGGTTCACAAAGTGCTGCGCCTGCCACGAAATTTGCACCTCGAGGTTACACAAAGTGCTGTGCCTGCCACGAACTCTGCACATGGAGGTTCACAAAGTGCTGTGCCTGCCACGAAATCTGCACATGGAGGTTCACAAAGCGCTGTGCCTGCCATGAAATCTGCGCATGGAGGTTCACAAAGTGCTGTGCTTGCCACGAACTCTGCACATGGAGGTTCGCAAAGTGATGTGCCTGCCACGAAATCTGCACTTGGAGGTTCACAAAGTGCTGTGCCTGCCACGAACTCTGCGCATGAAGGTCGCAAAGTGCTGTGCCTGCCACGACATCTGCGCATGGAGGTTGACAAAGTGCTGTGCCTGCCACGAAATCTGCACCTCGAGGTTCACAAAGTGCTGCGCCTGCCACGAATTCTGCGCATGGAGGTTCACAAAGTTCTTCGCCTGCCACGAAATCTGCGCATGGAGGTTCACAAAGTGCCTCACCTGCCACGAAATCTGCACATGGAGGTTCACAAAGCGCTGTGCCTGCCACGAAATCTGCACTTCAAGAAACAAGTGAAAACTCTAACCGCAATGGAGGGACG